TAATATCTCAAATAACATCTCTGCAGAATCCGGATCTTTGTTGACGTGGGCGGTTGCCTCCGAGTAATACCTCGGTAATGAGCAATTATCTTCCGAGTGAAAACTGCCGAAACCTTCGGAAAAACTGTTAGGGCAGTTACCACGCAAATATAACCAAACCCTCTACTTCCGTCGGTCAGTCACCCGGATGTTCGCGTCATCCGTTTAATTACAGAGATGCGCTCGATCTCGTTTATATCTGCCACCGACATCGGTTAAAGCATCGGTTAAACAATTTGTTTACAAATTATAGTTTAGGGAAGGAGATTGTTCCTCGGTGTGTTGAGCGCACATTTCTCACATTCCGGACGATCTTTCGACGCTCTGATGACGTCAAAATGACGTCTGAAGTGGGTGTGTTATCGTCCGCCAGGGGGCAACGGAAGCCATGACGTCAATAGACGTCATTTGGGCGTGAATGCCATCGACGTGCTACCGGTTTGCGTGAATGTAGGCGCACGCATACGCTTATAATTACATCGGATCATTTGCTTTCTCAGCACGTTCTGCGCCCAATTTCGGGGCAAAACGTGGAGAACCGATGAAAATGAAACAATAAACGGATAATAAGGTCGTACGCCAACCACCTATTCATTTGGTATTATCGCCATTTTTAATTTTATTGTTTTTACTTATCGCTAGTGAAAGAGCTCGTTTATTTATCTTAATAAAAATTATATTTCACTTTTTTCTGTAACACATTGTTAAATATTTACCGATATCTTCAGATAAAACGGGGGATCGCACCTCAAAGATAATTCTTATTTTCTTTTTAAAAATATCTCGAGATTAAAGTACTTGAAGCAAGTAGTGTAAATGTTGTGTATCGAATTACCAGTTTGTTTATTTAAAAATTCAAATAATGTATTTCCAATCGAGTTCTGAATATATGCCAAGTCTCTCTTGTGATTGACAGCTTTTCCTCAAAAGAAAATTAAAAATCATAAATAGTTTTCTGCTAATGGGCGTGTACACATAATCGTGTATCTTTCTCAGGTAAGCTCATCACGTAAGAATTGATATACATAGATTTTCTCGGGGGGAAGCGCTTATACTTCCACCTGTGTGGGATACGATTGACGTCACATCCCGCCCACGTTCCGGACAGTTCCGGTAGGAGCGCGGTCCCCGGGACTCTGGTCACGATGTTGTTATTGCCCAAAGCGTAAATCCCTGGCAGACAGCCTGACCCACTTCGACTCCATGCCTGCAGGTGTTGTACACCGCATGCGTGGGACGATCAGAGGGTTAGAGGGCGCGTGCCAATCGCCCACACGAATCTGACGTCACGATGTTGTTGTTTTTGTGTGGGTTTCGTGCCACGTGACTATTGTCGACCTTGGAAACAACGTGTTATCTCAGAAATAAGCGTTTGTGATGGCTTGGTGGTTGGATTTTTCTGGCTGTAGATGCAAAACAAGGTAAATTTTGTGTAATATTTATGAAATATCATTATTTCTCTACGGTTTTTTAAATATTTATATTCATTTTATGAATTATATTTCATGTTTAACGATACGCTAAATCATTGGTAGAAAGATTTTTTTTTTATAATAATTTACTGCGTTTCTTACGCTGTCATTCGCATCTTTGTTTGCTCAACAGTTCAAGGAAAAATACATGATTTACAATGGTTGCTTGGAAAGTGCAAAAAGTAATTATTTTGAATACTGTACTTGCACTAATGCTAATTTTCAGTCAAGGTAAAAAATTATTTCAAACTCTTGAAAAGGAATAAAATTAATGGTTTAATCGCAAAAATATATACTGATTTCTACCTAAATTCATAAAATATTATTCTCAACGCGGATTATATTTTAATATATCCTACTAAATTATGAAAAACTTCTTCGAAATCTCGTAAATTTGGAGAAAAAGAAATTTATCATCTCATTAATCAATACACCGTACTTTTATCCTTTAGTTTACTATTGTATTCTATTACTATTCTATTGAATTACTTTTATTAGTACAATTTACCTTATGTAACTTATATTGGCCTATATATATAGCTTATATAATTAGTTAATACTTTTCAATTCATCTTAATTGAAAATTATTAATGTAATGTATAAAAATATAATGAAAATATATAATGTAAATAACAAGTTTATTCAATTTATAGATAAAATATGAATTTGTTATTAGATTAATTATATTAGATTATATTAGTTAAATTTATTTATTAATGAACTTTAAAAAAAAAAACAAAATAATAGAACATATATTATTTATATAAAAGTAAAAATTTAATCAGTATGAGTCATTTAGATCATTATAAATGGATACTTATTATAATCTTTTTCGTCTAGCGATTATTTATTTATGATTTTTATCGCGATATTACATCAAATGCTATTAAGAGACTTGGTAGATAACATTATAGTAATTAATACAATATGTAAGGGATTGTAATGTTTTCCATTTTGTGGGATTTATCATTATGTAATTTTTGGTAATGAGCTTTGGAAATCCCGTTTTACGTCTACGTTTTGACAGTAGTGGGCGATAGATGATTTATCTTTCCTGCTTTATGACGGGCTGACGAACTCTTTCATTTTATATTACCGTATCTGTAAAATAAGTATCATTAAAAACCAATAAAAAATATCGTGATTACTTTTTAATTAAATTATAAGATTATAAATTTCAGTTTTAATTCTATAAGCTTTATTAAAAACGAAAATATAGGCTACTTAATCCGATATATTAAAGTTTCGAAATATAATAAAACTACTTTTTAGTTTTATAATAATTAAAAGATCACTAAAACCAAATTCGGATATATCTAGATTCCTATACGCGGATACAAAAAGGGAAATGAATAATTTATTCAATTATTTCTAGTTTCATTTTCAAAATAAAGTTAGCTACTATTTAAAATGTGTTGGTAATTTTTAATTGTCAACATAATGAATTTTATGAGAATTTCTTGTGTACTGGAGAAACAGTTTCGAGTTAGAGGCCATCTATTAATTACGTTTTTGAGCCATTTTGACCCTCTTTGTACCATGATGTACGGTACAGTACAGTACTTTCGGCAAACCACCCCCGTTTAATTACGTTTCTTGAATGTCATAGGGTTTACGAATCCCCTGAAATCAATGAAATGGCTTAAAAACGTTGTATATATAATTTCTGATAGTTTATTCACACGACTAGTAGGTAGGTTTATAATAGCAAATTCGTATGCCACTAATACCACTGAAAAAGTTCACGTAGACAATCCTTCAACCTCTCCCTCCCCATCGTATACAATGATATACTGTATTTTTCGCCACCCTCTTTTTCTTTAAACAGTACACGTGGATGGCACCTTATGAAGAAATTTGCGAAAAAATTTAAGATAAGAATATATGATAATTCGGGTTAAAATATGATATCAAGAAAATATTCATATAGCTAATTAGAAGCTTTATATTTAAAATAAAAACTAAATAACACGTTATGAGATTATAAAAGAAATAATATAATATTACATTTTGTATAAGGAAACAGGAATCATAATACGGATAATATCTCATCCCTAATAATTCCTTAATCCGATTATTCGTATACAATGACAAGGCTTTGCCTGTTTGAATAATAGCAAATATTTTATTTTTATTACACATCTTGCAGTCGAAATTATTTTTGGCTCTAAGAAATAAAAATAAACTAGAAAAACTAATTATAGCCTAATATTGATAGAAATCATATTAATCATGTTAAATGTAATTAATAATATAATCTATATATAATCTAATATCATGAAAATTCTATTAAAATTCATGTGTGGTATTTAGTACCATCGAGAGCGTGAATAGAGCTCAGAATAGAGTGGGCCCTTTTGTTAATTTTATTCGAACAAATGAAATACGAAAAATTCTTCTTTATTAATAAAGGAAATCTTAAATATTTTATTTTCTGTTAGTAAAACTAACATTAATTTATTGGTATATGAATCACTACGAGCTTCTAAATTTTCTCTAGGCTCGGAGAAAAATCCTCATCTCCCTCTCTCCACAACCCTGACGATATCATAATATTATGTATATTTGTTTATTTATACAGTGCAAATTATGAGATAGTCTTATTTGAAAATTGGCATTTATTCCATATTTTACTTAGTCACAATTCCGTACAATTCTTTTACAGATTCTGTGGTACAGTCGACCCCCCTATAATTACGATTCCTATAAAACTACGAAAAAATATACGTATTTTGGAAATATTGAGCCGGATTAGTGTAGAATCGATTAATTTTATGGAAGAAAACCTTTCAATCAGCCGTATTCCGTAAACTTGACACGTGTCGGGCTGTGATTGGAACGACTTGTAAGAAATCGGATTCCTAATAAATTGGAACGTATCTATATCTTATAGGGGGGTCGACTGTATATTATTTTTTTAAAAAGTTAGATAAACAATAGTATGAAAAAAACTAAACGTTTTCCTGTAATAAGCAATACAGTATACAAATCGCAATATCTTTGCATTAAATCGAAAACTGAAATTTTCGTTATTTGTTTCTCTTTCTCTCCGCTAGATTTAACTAGTAAGATTAATTATTGAATTATCTCAATCTATTAATAAAAAATATAGGCTTTACTGTGAGATTCTGCGAACTTGAAACGATTTATTATAATTTTATTGGCAGCCTTCATTTTAAATTGTGTAATGAAAGGCAAATGTTTTTCGATTAGAAGATCCAATCATCAATCATGTCATCAATCTATGCAATCTCCATCCAATCTCATAAGAAAGTTTAGAGTAGGCCTATATTTGACTCAAGGATATTATTGTAAATATTATCTATTTATATTATAATTTCGATTATTAGATTCTTATCAATATGTCGATAAGATATCTTTTCCAGCTTCCAAACAATTGGAAGGTAAAAGATATACTATCAAATTGCGCAGTAAGATTATCAGATAATAAAACACAAAATAAAAACAAATATCTGCCTTTTTTTTTAGATCACAGGTTGAGGAACCAGGTGGGTCAATGTAGCAGCCATGTTTGGATACAGCGATGCAGCTTCTCCTCATCTGGCAGATCAATTAGATGCTACTTACCTTCCCAATGACAGGTTCGAGGAAAGAGCTTCCTCGCCTCAGACCACAGAAATTCTTTCCAGTATAATGACATGGGCGACGTCGAGTATGCCTTCCAGTTATTCTCAGAATGACTATTATAGTGACCAATCACCTCTGACTCCGTCACCTCAACCTATGACTCCACCCACTCCTACATCTAGCGTACAGGCCACTCGCTCTTACCTTATCAAAGAGGGGTTGAAACTGACCATCCAATCAAAACGAATGGCGCTGGGATTGGATCAAATTAGACCCGAATTCAGTTCTAATACAAATAATGAGGTAAGCTGGATTTTTTATACTACCTTTTAGATCGAAATATAGTAAACCCTCGAATTAACGGACAACAAATTTCTACCCTATAAAAACAATTTAAAACCTTTTTTATTCGCGAATGCAACATGTTTAAAGCTTGAAACAATGACTCAATGAGTATAAATTACTCAATGTACTGTACAGTACATTATAGGCCTAATATTATTTTATACATATACATCGTAATAACATTTTAATACATTTTGCACCATATAAATTCGTTATTAATGCACGTTTTTAAAACACATTCGATCTAACGGACTTTCGGCAATAGCGGAGTCTCTCTTTCCCAATTAGTCCGTTAAAATTGAGGTTTACTATATTTATTTTTTAACTTTATATTTAAGTTTATATTTTAGTTGTTTCATTTTTCTCCCACGAATGCTTGAAAAGAAACACGTGTAAGACTTCGCTTGGGGATAATATAGTTTATGTGTAGAGAACATAGATTTTGTTTAAAATCAATTCTCATTTTGTATTTTCATTTCTTTTTTCTTTAATAGTTAACTCCTGAAGATGAAGAAAGGAGACTTCGAAGGAGGGAAAGAAACAAATTGGCAGCCACCAAATGCAGAAATAAAAAGAAAGAAAGGACTCAAAGATTAACGAAGGTAATTAAGGAGTCCTTTCTTCAATTTTTTTAGCGTATTAAAATTAAAGATTTATAAGAATTATACCTTCATAACTCTTTTTGATCAATATGATGTGCAAACGAAAAATAAAGTTATCGCTCGAAACTCATTTAATCCTATTTTCGATAGGAATCGGAATATTTAGAAGCCGAAAATCATGCTTTGATACAAGAGATCGAAGTATTGAGAAAAGAGAAGCAAAAACTTTTAGATTTGCTGAGCAATCATCTCCCCCTCTGTGATCTTCCAGCGCCATGTAACTCTTGCGCGCATGCACAACCCTGCTCTGTGATCTGACAGATCTGAAACGAAAAGCAGAATCGCGGAGGACGTTATCTCCCTGTACAATGGAAAAGGCACAATTTTTATTCTCAGGCTAAATTGTAAGCACGAGATCTGAATGCCTTCTCTAAAGGAAATCAGTATTTTTAGAAATTGTCTGAAGACAAGGTAGTCAAACAATACAGTATTCTAACTTAATATCACAACTAGTCCCGATAATAGTGAAAAGTGGCATGACCCTAATCCGACCCTGTCACGTGCCTTAGCCAAAAATATCTAAAAATGTTTCCTTCGCTAGATGATGGACTTGTTGCGAAGAGTGTGTGAGTCACAGTGGCTCGAGTTGCGGTGAGTCTTAATTTGGGTGGCAGCATTGCACATTGTTGTGAAATACTCTGTGATAGTTGTTCGTGTGCAGTATTAAAACTTTTAACTGGTATTATTTGTTTGACTATTTTCCTTGTCAGAATTTAATTTTGTAATTTTGTATAAATCAATTTAAATTTTTTTTTGTCTCTTTGAGTGCTAAACAGATTTATTATCGCTCAGTCCCAAATCCGTGTAAAAAACTTTTGTTTTTTTTTAAATGTAATAGCCGAAATATACGGGAGTATATTTTGTACTAATGGTGCTATAAAAGAGCAATTGGGACCTATCTTATGTACATTCTTATCTTGTATATGGAGCTTTATAATGTGTATATGCCATGTTTGTGAATAAAGTATTTTATATTATCGAATTAGTAAATTGCTTAATAATTTAAATGTTATAATCATCTTAACGAAGAAGAAGGTCGTTTAATTCCATTCAATTTACTAACCTTGTTCATAGAAATGATGCTTATGAATTGAAATTATTCAATGACAAACCATAGACGATTGGCTTATGATATTATTCGTTTATGTCAATATATAATAATTTTGTTTACATGACATGTTTCGTTCTAAAATATTATATTATGTTGTTATTCGCTTCTTGAAGAATTCAGTTATTTCTCGATTTAGATTTATTAAATAATATATAAATATATTTTACATATTATCAGCAATTTTTGATGATAAAGTTACATCATTTACTATTTTATAGATTATATAAGTTGCCTTTATTAATTGGTTAAAAATATATTTTGAATCACTATCGAATTCGTGATTAATTTTATTAAAGACTTAGATAAAAAGAAAATTGTAAATTAAATTTAATATTACATAATAATAGCTTTAAACATGTAAAACTTTATTATAAATAATCAAATTTAAAAACAAAAGCTTAAATTAAGTAAAAATAAGTATAGATATATAGAAGGAATTTAAAACGATTACTAAGCTATTAATTTTATGATAATGAAATGTTTGAAAAAAACGAATTAATTAAATTACTGTTTAAATGTTTACAAAAGAAAAGAAAGAACCCCAACATAATTCATTACAAATTAAGTAATTTTCAATCTTTCGTTAATTTATTTCCTTTAAAACCTTGACGTTTGTAAATTCATATAAAAGTTATGAGCTTTCGATCGATCAATAAAACTCACATGCTAACGATATTCACATAAAACACAAAACGAGTATAAAGTTCTATAGACTTTATAAATATTCATTACTTCATTATATGGAACATTAACAAGTCATTTTATGAATTATTCATTAAGCTTGTTTTATTTTACAAACAATAATTAGGCCTAAACTTAAATTGCTGTATTTTATTTACTAAATAAATCTTATATCAATTTTGAAATAATTATTTTAGAGTGGGATATATATTTTTAAGAAAGATATTGAAAAAAATTTACTTTGTTGCACTTTAAAACCGCCTTGTAATCAAATTCTGCACGTAAATTGGTAATAAAAAAAAAACAAAAACTCCATTACAATGGCACAGCGCAAGGATACATCACTGGAAAAAAAAAAACAGTTTCATCACAAATGTTGCATATTAGTAAGTTGTAAAGCCATCTCTGACATTAGTCAGTTTGCATTAATTGCCAGACTGTGTTTACCACTTTCCGATTTGTAACATTTGTGATGAAACTGTTCCTTAATGGTGTATCCTTGTGCTGTAATGTTGTAATCAATTTATTCTTTCACCGGCATTTCGCATGCAGAATTGCGTCGAATTTTTTGCAATAGAGTATACTCTACGTTTATATGAAAACGTAGAAGAAAACCAATCTTTTTATTAACAAATGAACATTTTTTGGACTTCTGATAGTTAATTATCTAAAAATTAAGTTCGCTCTGATCAATTAATGAAACGAGATTCACTTTATGCATTTGATCTAAGAGACCTTATCTTGTTCTTTATTAAGCAAACCACAATTTTCACCATTTTTTTTATTTTTCTTCTTCCCCACACAAGCAATCGTAAGCATTATTCTGACACCTTGCTTAAATTATGTTTTCTATACATATAATAAGCAATAATAAGATAATAAACCATATTCAATAGATTTTTGCAATATCAGTTTCATATAATAAGAATACTAATAAAATAAAAAAACAAATATAGAATATTTATAAATTAGGAAACACAAATTTATCAAGTAGCCTATAAATTAAGAATTTTTTAAAATGCTTGTACAATTTGAATACTTATAAAAATATTTTTATAGCCTACATCTTTGAATACTTTACGTAGAAGAAACTTCGAAAATAGCTCAGATTAGTATTGATTCGATCCTCTTTTCTTTCACTTCCTTTTTTAAATGCTGGAGTAATATTTAAATGTCTCAAATATTAGAATTTATAATTCAAATATTAAAGTGGCTGAAAATTTTATCTAATACTAAATGTGTTAAATTTTAACTTATATAATTACATTCAATTTAATTTTACACTGGAATATCTAAGCTTTTTGTATATGTAAACAATGTTCATTAAATCCAAATTATACCAAAAAAAAAAAAAAAACCAACTAAGAGTTAAATCCCTGTTTTAATAATGTCTATTTAACATTTTATTAGTGCGACAGAACAGTCTTAAATGATTGTTTTATTTAGTTTTTTACATAAATTTTATTTTTCTTTATTTATTACATATTTGAATATTATTCACTGTTCATACACAAATTTCCAACAAAGTACTTATTTTTTACATAAAAAGATAGTCTAATTTTATTATTTTAACAGACAAAAAATAACTGAAAATAGAAAAACAAATTTAAGATTAAATTTAAACTTAAACAGTAAATCTAATTGGCAAACAACCAGTAATCAAGAAATGAGACTAACTCTCCACTTTTATGAACTAATTCACAGCCATTTTACTGCATAAACCTTTTTAATTTAAAGCTCATTTTTTGGGGGAACATTAAATATTTAACCTAATTATTGAAACCGAAACAAAAGTCATAGCATAATTTTTTTAAAATTCTTTCTGATTATAAAAATTACAAGTGGATAGCGAACAAATTCGGTATGATATAATTCAGTAGTAATTAAACATCTCAAGAAAAATTCTATTCGAACTTTAATAATAAGCAATAACAGAAAGAACATTTAATCTATTACAAATATATTTTTATCAATTAAAATAGCCAAGAATGAAAATCTGTTAAAAATATAAACAAAAGTCATTTCATAAACTTTACTAGACCTATAATTGTACTAATTAGCATTCTTTTGTTTAACTTAAGAGATCCATAAAATAAATAAATAGACTATTTTACATATATACCAATATAGAAATGAATAATATTCCTGTTTTGTAAGCCTAAGCAATTACGTGAAACCTCTGGTAATTTATTTGCCTAATTCTAGTCATACGAACGAATGAAACGAAGACTGATCAAAATGAAATGTTCGCAGTACTAACTGACACAGAGTTAGAAAGTGATTGGTGGAAAAGGTTTCTAATATTAGTTGTGAAAAGGTGATTGGTCGAACCAATCGAAGTTTGGCAACAGTTCAGATATTTTCAACTGCTAACGAACTGGTCTCACAGTCTCCGGAAGAGGAAGAACCGGAAGCCGTATTTACTTCCTAGCGATTCATATGCCAATGAAATGTTTTTCCCGATTTTATAAACAATATTAGAGTAGTATACATCCCCTGTAACGCTCCGTAATACTGTCACACATAACTATTCTCACGCTAACATAACGTGTATCTTCGATTAACCCTGTTAATTCTACTAAAAAATAATACACAGAACAGTTACATTATTTTAGTCTATTAATTTCATGAATTGTACAATAAAAATAATAACATAAACAGTGCGGTTTTCTATGCATCACACTTTAGAAACAAAATTAACTCATTCTGTTAACAGATTTGAGATTCTGATATTACGTAACGATTTTTGTAAACATCCCATTCCTTGTAACGCATACCCATCCCATACTTGCGTTACGTAGTTTATGGAAAAATCCTTCATACGACTTCCCTACAGTTTACATCTTAATTTTGAATTTGAGAGAATGATTCGTTCTCTTTTTATGCATACACGAATGAAAAATAGACTATCATTGTTTTTATAAATAAATAATTATCGTTGATAAAACTTTATTAATTTATTTATCACCATATTATTTATCAATCAAACTGCAGATCATCTAAATAATATCAACCGAACCATTTGAATAAGCATAACAATAGAAGATACAAACAAGGATGAGAAATTATTGCTGAATCATTTTAGACAGAAACAAAAAACAAAAAAAAAATCCATTGTTCGAGGGTGGTCGTTATTTAAAGGTTACTTTGTATGCATTTTTGTTTTAAAAGAGTTCCTGAAAAAATGACCGCTGTTTAGAGATGACAGTTATTGCAGGTTCGACTGAATAATGTTAATATTAACATTTATATAAATATTAAAATGATAATATAGGCTATAATATATTTCAAAATATAAATGTAAAGATAAATACTTCTATCATAAACTTATAGGTATTAATGTTGCAAATTACGAAGAACATTTCATAAAATTTAAGAAAACGAATAAATTATTGTTAAATATTTAATTATAATTAATGAATATGAACATTTACAGATTATATTAAAGAAAATTATGAAAATATAATACAACTGCTATTTGTTACGGGATAATATACTGTACTGTACAGTACATGCATACTGTAATAAATTTAGGAAGTGGTTTGAGAGGTAAACAGAAATAAATTAATTATAATATCACTTAAATAAGTGTATTCCCATCGAATTTAAGGAAAATATTTCTATTTAAACTTATTACAAATGCGTTTTTGTAACTATGATTGAGGAGAAAAGAAAACAAATAGCATATTGTAATTAGTCGAGGAAGACATTTGATCAATCACAATGACGTAATCGGCATTTTAAACAATCATATGTATCCCTATAATTATATAACTATATCTAAAAATAATTGTTTCATATCAATCAAAGGCATTGATATCAAAATTCATGGTTTTAGAGACACTCTAAATGCAAATATTCTATTAGAGCAGGGGTACACAACATACGACCGCTAAATATTTCGACGCAACCCATCATCTGATTTTGATATAATTATTTTCATATTAATACTGTAGGTCTATTCAAATATTCATAAATACACTTCGTATGATTTTAATTTAAATCTGTATAATATGTTTGAGGTTAACACACTCTCGTATTGTTGGATTTTCGCGCAAATGTTTGTTTAATATACACAAGAGTGCATTCAAGCTTTAAAAACAATTTAACCGAATACAATTCGAGATAAAACATAAGTTGTGCAACTTATGTTTTATCTCGAATTGTATTCCTTGGTTAGAAGATCGTAT